AAAAATGAAGATAATGAAGAAAACAAAAACAAGATTAAATCAAAAAAAATATACAGAATGAATTTAAATAATAATTGTTGTAATGTTCTTTATGAATAATAATTATCACTTTTACTTTTACTTAAGGTCTTCCAAAAAGCAACTACCTTTGAATTTGAATAAAGGTTTTAAATCTTTTCCTTAATGGTTCATAAATTCTCCTTATAAGATAAGAGTATCTTATGCTTCCAATATTAATTCTTGTGATATGACAAGAATTGGATAATTAGAGACTTAATAATAATAATCTAATAAATACCTGGTAGAGGATTGTTCTAAAAAAGAGGTGCTTTAAATTTAGCTAGTATATCTTTGTAGTTTTTATCAGAGGATTTAATTTCTTAACCTGTCTTTACATCCCATAGACGGATAGACTTATCTACACTACCAGAAGCTAATGTATTTCCATCAGGAGAGAAACAGACTGAGTAGACATAACTAGTATGACCATCTAATTTGGCTTTTTATTATCCTGTTTTGACATCCCATAGACGGATAGACTAATCACTACTTCCAGAAGCTAAAGTATTTCCATCAGGAGAGAAACAGACTGAGTTGACATCATTACTATGACCATCTAATTCGGCTTTTTATTATCCTGTTTTGACATCCCATAGACGGATAGAGTTATCAATACTACCAGAAGCTAATGTATTTCCTACAGGAGAGAAACAGACTGATACTACAGTTCCACTATGACCATCTAATTCGGCTTTTTATTATCCTGTTTTGACATCCCATATACGGATAGAGTTATCACCACTACCAGAAGCTAATGTATTTCCATCAGGAGAGAAACAGACTGACCAAACTCTATTACTATGACCATCTAATTCGGCTCTTTATTATCCTGTTTTGACATCCCATAGACGGATAGACATATCTACACTACCAGAAGCTAATGTATTTCCATCAGGAGAGAAACAAACTGAGTAGACATAACTAAGATGACCATCTAATTCGGCTCTTTATTATCCTGTTTTGACATCCCATAAACGGATAGACTTATCTACACTACCAGAAGCTAATGTATTTCCATCAGGAGAGAAACAAACTGAGTTGACATCATTACTATGACCATCTAATTCGGCTTTTTATTATCCTGTTTTGACATCCCATATAAGGATAGACTAATCACTACTACCAGAAGCTAATGTATTTCCAACTGATCTCACACTACTACTATGACCATCCAACTTATTCAATTCATGGACTTTTATGTTCTTCCATTTACAATTGAATAGCTAAGCACCATTCAAATTCAATCCGCTGATATCTACATTATCAAAATCAGATCCACTAAAGTTACATCTGACAAAATTTCCTCCAATTACAGAAGTATTCTTTATTCTGATATTTTCAAATGATTGGTTTCTGATATCTACCTTCATATCTACTAATAAATGAAGTGAATTTGACCCACTATAAATGAATAGGTTATCAAAAGCTGTAAGTCGAATTAAGAATTTTAATAATTTTATTATCTTCTCATTATGCGATATTTTATTTAGTAGATCTTATTTAGTTTTTTCTTAATTTTCAATTGAATAGCTTATTTTATTAAAGTCATGTACTTTAATTTACTTGAGAAGATTAGTTATTTTTTATATTTTCTCATCTAGATCACCTATAATCTATTATTTATCAAGTGTTATGTTGTTTTTAATTTATAAAATATATTATTTAATAAGTGTTTGACTTTTATTTTATGAAAGAAATTTAAGACAATCTGAAATTTTCGCTTTTCTCAATATTTCAATTATCACATTCAAAATACATTCATCAATATAATTTGATGAAGTTAAAATCTTAGACAAATCTTCTTTATATTCAAGAATTTTAATTTGCTATTAAGTCTATTCAACCTCTATTTATTTTTCTAGTTCATTTATTACTTCATCAATTCTTATCCTTTTTTTTAATATTATAATTTTTTATTCACCATCCAAATATTGAACAATCATTTTTTATAATAATTCATTTAACTAATAATTTATTTATTTTTTTCTTAATTTCTAATTTATTTAGAATTGAGTTATTTAGGTTATTGCTAGTTATAATTTAAAAGAAGTATCACATATTAAGAAAAATGTTTCATTAGTAAAAACCTCATAAAAGATCACACCTAAAGACCAAATGTCAACAGATGAATCATAGTTTGTGGAGATAATCATTTCTGGGGCCATATATAAATAAGTTCCTGTAGCAGCAGTATTAGTTTATTTTTAATTTTATTTTGTGGTTCCAAAATCTATTAATTTGATTTTACCATCTTCCCCCATCACAAAATTATCAGGTTTTAAATCTCTATGAAAAAATCCTAATTATTCTAATTCAAAAACACCTTTCGCCATCTAAAAAAATATTGAAAGCAATATACTTGTAAACAAGCCTTCCTTTTATCTTATATTTACCTTAAATCAAGACTTTTTGCAAGTTCCATTATTGTGAAAATTCCATCCTTCTACTTTTCAAAAGCATATACTTAAATTATATGTTAACATTTTTTTTTCTGATAGCCTGCAAGATCTTTTATTCATGATCACTTATTGTCATTTACTATTTTATCGCTACAAAACTTCCGTCTGATCTTTATCCTTGAAAAACTTAGCCATTTCCACCAGTGCCAATTAGATCTCCTTTTTTAACTTCTATTTGTTCAACCTTGATGAGCATTAATTTCAAACTCTATTAAAATTATTTAATTTTAATTATAAGAAAATATTTATTGAACCAAGCTTTATTTTGGGAATTTCAGTTAAATATTTGTAACAAAATTAAATAAACAAAGGCAAATCATGTTTATTGTAACCTTTGAAAGTTTCTACCAATTTTCTTCTTGTTTACCATTATTATTATTAAATCATCCTGAAATCTATTTATCTTCTCTCCAAACCATGTTTATTGGTGTAGGATAGTTATTATAATATTTAACCAAGTAAGGTTTGTATATATTATGTATCTGATGGAGGAAATTATATGAAAATATAAACTTTATTTTGTTAATTTCTGTCCAAGTTATAAATACCATCAAAACAATAAGTTTCATTATTAAAAATTCTGTATTTAAAATTTTCTAATAATTAAAAGACATACTTCGAACATTCGTGCTTGTATGTAGGTATTCTTATCCTAATCTTTTTAATCACCAATAGTTGAGATGTAGAGATGAGGTATTCATGTTTTATCCAAAGGATTGCCTTTTTAATATTTGGGAATATACTTGATTTTATATACAAGTAACAGATTTCATGAAAGATGTCAAAAACTCAGTATGACCATTCAGATATAAGTTGTCGATGTCCAGGAATAATACTACACATCCATCCAAAACTATAGAAACAAAATAAACCCAAAACATCCAACACCTTAGGGGTCATCTCTTTCTCACCCTTGGCCACTCATTTGGTAAGGGAGTACTAGATTAGATTTATAATAAATAATAATATAGTCCTAAGTACGGTTGGGGCTGAGGCATTTATGTCATAAAAGTTGCTAGTAAGGTTTTTTCCCCAACCCCAACCCCAAAGTTGGGGATGGAAAAAAAAAAATTATTGAAATTTTCTTATGACTAACAGAAATTTGTTTTTATAGTTGCAATAAAATTAGGAAAATTTAATAAATGCTAGTATTTTTTCCCTTTTAAAAATATATTATTTGATGTATGTAAAATTTCACGTTGAGCTCAAATTAATCTATAATTAAGATTCATATATAATACGGTTAGAGAAGATATCATTATTTCCTTAAATCTTAATAATTTAAAAAATATACTACTTTTTTAATATGTTTTCAAAGTTTTTTAATATCTTATCAATTAACAGGTGATTGATACATTATCTTGAATTGAGAGTTAAGTTAAAATTAATCACTATAATATTGTTAACTTTTTTTTAATAATTTAGATTATATTCTAAGATTAACTTTTATTTTTTTAATTCTTGTTATATCTTTGTTATTAAATATATCTTTTACTATTTATAAAAACTAATTTTACAAAATTGTTAATTATATCTATTAAGACTTATGTTTATAAATAGTAATAAATTAAATAAATTATCAGAATATCTTATGAAATAATCATGCAGTTTTTTGTTAAGTTAGTTTCAATTAAGTAATCAATCTTTATTTTAATCTCTTCATTGAGCTTACTGTTCTCTGTTTGGATTATAAATTTAATGTAGTATCATTTAACATTAATCTCTATAAATTTTAATTAATATCAGTTTTTTTTAAGGAGATCTCAATAAATATACCCTCCCCTACATTTCCTTAAAATTGGATACTTTTGAAAAGCTTGTAATTATCAATCTTAAAAAATGAAGATAATGAAGAAAACAAAAACAAGATTAAATCAAAAAAAATATACAGAATGAATTTAAATAATAATTGTTGTAATGTTCTTTATGAATAATAATTATCACTTTTACTTTTACTTAAGGTCTTCCAAAAAGCAACTACCTTTGAA